CAGAAGCACTCTGTAGGCCAAAAACACACCCATTTTTGGCCTCCCAAAGCCTCAGCGCATCCTGTTTTTGCCCTCCCTGGCGTCCAGAAGCAAGGCAGCAATGGGACCTCCAGAGGCCAAAAATGGGCACGTTTTTGGCCTGCAGAGTGCTTCTAGACGCTGGGGAGGGCAAAAATGGGACGCACAGAGGCAAAAAACCTATTTTTTTATTATTTTCCTCTTCTAAGCCTAGGTACGTCTTATGGTCTAGTACATCTTATAGTCTGAAAAATACAATACCCAGAATTTTGAATCAAGAACTGATTCTAATAAAGCAAAAAGGGGAAGTAGCTGCAACTGGCCAATTTAATATGTTGTGACTGTTGCACAAGTACTGGTAGCTGTTTATAGCATTTGCTGGAAAGATCTAAATGAGGCAGGACATGTCACACAGATGTTACTTAGAATATTCTTTATCATTGAAGGTCATGAGAAGGTCTTTTGGAAAGTATATTGGTGCATTTATACTGTATCCCTTTTAGTCTCATATTTTAAGCACATCTACATTCTATATTGTGGCTGTTTGGTTATATATATTAATGTTCTATTTGTTTGAAGCTCAATTATCTTGCAAGTCTCTGAAAGTAATTAAATAACGTCTTTAGCAGCTCCCCCCCCCTAATTTTTCTTTTTCTGTTGAATGCAAACATTATTCTTTCGTGATACAATTTTCTCCTCCCAATCATTAATTATAATTTTTAAAAATCATGAGAATCTAATCTAATTCCATAATCCATCGCGAAACCAGAACAGTAGCATTATACTAGACATTAAATTCATTTTTATGGATTTGTGCAATGTGTGATTATAATAATAAGCTGTAATAATATTGATAGGGAGTGAGTAAACGTGTTCAGTGTGTAGCATTGTTTTGGGGGACTACATTTCTCCAGAGATTGGAAACCATCTGATATGTATATGAGATAATATAAATGATAGAGGAGATTGAAAATTCATAATGGAGATAACTGTCCTGTTTTCCACTTTTCCTTTTTTTCCGTTCTTACTATTTTATTCCTCCTCTGCAGTTTACAAGAAAGGATCAGATAGATTTAGTGGTGGTAGGTACAAAGTACTTGTGGAACAGACTTGAATTAAACAGATAATTGCTAATTGTCTAAGGTTGTAAACTGCATATCCCAGATTGTGACAATCTTTAAAAAACTCATTGTGATTTATCATTTGGTCTTATTCTGATTCCCTTGTCTCTGAAATTAACTGTGGTAATAAAATAGTTCAAATTATTTTTTCATTGCTGTTTTGTATTAGAGGTAGTTCTCCATATATGACCACAAATGGGCCCTGAATCTCGGTTGTTGAGTAAAGTGGTGGCGCAGTGGTTGAAAATTCAGGATTGCAGACTAATTCAGCTCACTGCCAGAAGTTCGATCCTGACCGGCTGAAGCCTTCCATCCTTCCGAGGTCGGTAAAATGAGGACCTAGATTGTTGGGGGCAATATGCTGACTCTCTAAGCAGCTTAGAGAGAGCTATAAAGCACCGTAAAGCTGTATATAAATCTAAATGCTACTGCTACTAAGTAAGATACTAGATACTACATGACCTCTTCTCCTATGAGCTGCTCGGAGCATCCAGAGATGGGAGGTGCTTCAGTCTCTGCTTGCTTAGGCTGAGCTTGAATTGAGGAACACTCCTCCTCCTCCACGTGAGTCTTCCAGGGCGTTCCCCAGTTTTTGCTCAGCCTCGTGCGAGACAGGCTGTGCTGTTGCTTTGCTCCTTGGCCGAAGTAGGAATTTTGGATTACTCTTTCTCATTTCAGATCAGCATTTCTCAGGTTTGATTTATAATCTCCTTAGTCCCTGCGCAATTGTGTGAACCGGCATCCTTGCCATTTAGGGGGAAGCGCATTTTCACCCCCCAAGGGAGGCGAAGGGAGGGAAGGGTCAGTAGCGATCTTCGCACTACCTCGCATAGCCAATCCCTTCCGTTTTTTCTCTCTCTGCCTCAATCTGTTGCTGTTTTCTTATCACTCCGTTTCACAGCGGTTCGTTGCGATCTGCTCCGTCTGAGCCGCACCGTGTTCCCCCCCCACCCTCGAACGCCATTTATTTACTTGCAAAGGAGAAGCCTTTGCTTTCTTTCTCTGGCCACCTTCTCTGGAAGAGTTTTGGCTTATTTCCCAGGCGGGGAAATTGCTGCTGGGAGGTGTGTCGTTATAGCAGCTGCCATTTTGGAGGCCACCTCGTGGCGCACGCCATTTTGTTTGTGATTATACTGAAGCTGTGAGTGGAAATTTCTTAAAGCATCAAGCCCCGCCTGGCTTTTTCTTCAGATTTGAGTCTAGATTACCAAATAGGCTTGTATTTAATTGGAGTTTTCGTTGGCCAACCTCACAGCTCCTCCAGCAGCACAGCAGCTGCACCCAGGCCTTTGTGTTAGCCCGTGCAGAGAGGCTGCTGTAGGCCCTACCCTTAATGTTTCTGGGCCTAGGCGTTTCGAAATTCGGCTAATTGCCTCCCTTCATTATCCCAAGAGCAGGGATAGTATTATAACAACCACCCTGAATATAACATTGATTCATATTGGCAGTATAATATTTTCAGATTAAAATATTATCACTGAGGTGCGGCTCAACTGTCTTTTTTGTCTCTTGACCACATACGCATATCTCTTCTTAGAGATATCTATATATATATATAAAAAAAGAGAGAGAGAGAGAAAAGGAAAGACAAATTATTCTAAAAGGGGGAAGCAATACTGATCAGGGACACTGTCTTGCTAGATCGGGCCCTGGGCGTGCCAACCGCCTCATATTATTTTCTGACTTACTCCAGCCACATTTAAGTCATTGCAATGGCAGATGGCAATACCTCGAGAGGACCTTGAAGGCAAAAGCCAAAACCCATCACTTGCACAAGCAGGCTAAGGAGACCTCCAAAGCGGCCGAGAGGGACGCCCTAAGGCGCCACAAGGCCCTGCAAAAAGAAATAGACAGGAGATCTAAGGAAGCACTCAAGGTGCCTCAGGTTCCCCCATCCTCCAGTCCCTCTACCTCTGCTCAACCTCCCCCCCAAATGTTTCCTTCTCCTCCAAGCGCAGCTTGCCATCTCAGGAACAACAGGCTCTGGGTCCTGAAACACTGACCAGAAGGGCTCCAGAGGCCACCTTCACCCCAACTGCTGCCAGTCTCCGCCAAGAGGAGTCTCTCCCTGAGGAGATCCCTGAAAAGATAAGATCCTGGATGGAGTTGGCTATTCGCCAAGACATCGCAACTGGCATCCAGCAAGCCGCCAGGTCCAGTCTGTATCCGGTAGGCTCTGACCAGGAATCTCACTCTGTGACGTCTCTACCTAGGTCTGAACAGCGTCTGGCTCAGGTGCCCTTGCATAGGGAACCCCCCCTCCAAGGGCAGGAGGAGGAGATGGAAGAGGGGGAGGAGGAAGGTGATCAACTCATGGACCCACACGACTTCGATCTGGGGTCCATAGACTATAGTGAGCCCCTATCAGACATGGACCCCCTAGAGGACGAAATGTCCGAGGACGAGGGGCTCACCCCTGACCAGCCCGCCTTCGCGGGCCTCTTTAAGCCGCAACTATTCAAATCCTTATTGTATAAAGCCAAAAATATTTCAGGTTTGATTAAACAACCCCCCTCAGTCCACCCTACCCCTTCTGGGGAAGGACCTGAAGACCTCATTTTTAACCAGCCAGTGGTAGAGGCCGAGACTATTCCAGCACCCCCTATCCTTGCAGATCTGGTCCAAAAACAACTAGTGTCCGTAGGGGTCCCCCCAGCCCCCTCTAACCACGACAAAAAAAATTTCGATCTAGATCCGGATTTCTCTAATCTGTTGAACACCCCTGAGGTCGACGAGCCCATTGTGGGCCTGGCATCCTCCTCGACCCCTACTGAGGCTTTAGAAGCCCTAAAACCGGAAGAAAAGCGGGCCAAGCTGGCCCTGCTCAGGGCCCATCAGTCGGACACATGGGCCATAAGATCGGCTACGGCCGCATCTTTCTTTACTAGGTCTTCAATTCAATGGTTGCGCCAGCTTAAACAGCATGTCCCCGCTTCTAACACCAGAGCACACCAGGACATTGCTAAAATCACCGTCGCAGCTGAGTTTTCGGCGGATGCCACATATCACACCGTCAAATTTTCTGCCAGGGCTATTACAGCGCACGTCCAGGCCCACCGCCTGCTATGGCTCAGACACTGGCAGGCGGATTTAAAAAACAAAGCCAAGCTGGCCTCCTCTCCCATAGTGGGGGACAAACTATTCGGCCCCTCCCTGGACCCTTTACTTATGGAGACCAGGAACAAAAAGAAATTTCTCCCTTCCCTCACCTGAAGGTCAGATGCCAGACAGCTGCAGCCCTTTCGGAGGGGCTCCTTTCGGCCCTCCTACCAGGCCCCCATCTCTCCCAAGTATCAGAGGCCTCCCTCGTTCAGACCGGGCCAATTCCAGGACTGACCTGACACTGGAGAAAGGGGTAGGAGGGGCGGCCAATATAAAAGGCTTTTTCGGGGGTCCGGAAGCAAGCCTTACCAACGTCCCAGATAGACATAAGGACTCTATCCCCATTGGCGGGTGCCTAAAGTCGTTTGCCACTATATGGGACTCTTCTACTTCTGACTCCTGGGTCAGGGAGACCGTTAGATTCGGCCTTGCTCTCGAGTTCCATTCCACCCTCCCAAATTTCTTTATGTCTTCCCCCCTCTCCAAGGACCCAATTAAACGCAATCTGATGACTTCCGCCATCCAGCACCCCCTTAACATAAGGGCCATCCAACCTGTTCAACCAGACCAACGAGGTCAGGGCTTTTATTCCCACCTCTTCATCGTTCCACTCGAATTTATAATGCCACATGGACCATTTTCTGTTGTTGGTGCAGCAAACTTCAAATTAACTCAGTTTCTCCCTCCATCGCTCAAATTTTAGAATTCCTTCAGGAGGGACTTGACAAGGGGCTGTCTCCCAACACACTAAAGCGTCAGATGGCTGCCTTGTCATCAGTCCTTTCTTACGAGGGTCTCAGTTCCCTCTCTCACCACACCCTCATCCGAGCTTTCCTTAGAGGGGCTACCAATTTACGCCCTGCCCCAGTGCACCGTTATCCCACCTGGGACCTCAATAAAGTCCTCCTCTCCCTTACCAAAGAGCCTTTCGAGTCTTTGAGGGTGACCGGTCTCCAATTCCTAACATATAAAGTGGTTTTCCTGGTAGCCATTACATCAGCCCGACGTATCTCGGAAATAGCAGCCCTGTCTGTCAGGCAAGACCTCTGTGTCTTTCACGCAGATAGGGTGGTTCTCCGACCCGACCCCACTTTTCTACCAAAGGTCAATTCGGCTTTCCACAGAGCCCAGGAGCTCATCCTCCCAAATTTTTGTCCCAATCCGTCGCAGGAAAGGGAACAACAATGGCACAAACTCGATGTAAGACGCGCACTGCGAATTTACCTCAAACGCACAAAGCCCTTCAGGAAGTCGGAGGCCCTATTTCTCTCTTTCCAACCCAAAACACTGGGACACAAGGTGTCATCGTCTACCATAGGACGATGGATTAGGGCGGCCATAGCAAAATCGTACCAGTCCCAGGCCCTTCAAGTCCCTAAGGGCATCACAGCCCATTCAACCAGGAGTGTAGCCACCTCTGTGGCCTGGGCTACCCAGGCTCCAATAATCGAAATATGCCGGGCAGCGACCTGGGCGTCACCTTCCCCCTTCATTCGGCACTACAAAATTGATGTGTTTGCTTCTGCAGAGGCTTCATTTGGCAGGCGGGTCCTGCAACGTGTTTTAGGGACCCTAGGGAGATCCAGGACCAGACGGAGTCCCTCCCTTAGGACAGGCCAAGCTTTGGTATGTCCCATCTCTGGATGCTCCGAGCAGCTCATAAGAGAAGGGGCGTTGGTACTTACCTGATACGCCCATTCTATTTGAGCTGCGAGGAGCATCCAGCCCCACCCTAATTTCCGTCTGGTGGGGCCTACCTCTCGGCCAAGGACCAAAAATTATTTAGGTGATAGGGATAGGAGCAACCTTTTTTTCCTCGCCTTCGCAAAACTGGGGAACGCCCTGGAAGAGTCACGTGGAGGAGGAGGAGCGTTCCTCAATTCAAGCTCAGCCTAAGCAAGCAGAGACTGAAGCACCTCCCATCTCTGGATGCTCCTCGCAGCTCAAATAGAATGGGCGTATCAGGTAAGTACCAATGCCCCTTTGCTCTAAAACTGTAATCCTGGCTCTGCCAGTTGAAGTCTATTACACCAGTACATTGAGGGGATAAAAATAAATTACTTCCATGTTTGTTCTTTTATAAAAGGAAATTTCAATAAATAGCAATCTAAAAACCTATTTTCCAAGATGATATATTGAGTGTATTTGAAAGTAATTTTTGTACTGTTTATATGCCACAGGTAACTGCTAAATTCTTTTGAAATAATTCTTTTAAATTCCTGTTCTTTAAATATCTTAGGTCTGACCACTGGTTGCAATACCGGTGGCTCAGCATCTTGTTTTTTTCTCCACCAGATGGCAGCACCTGCCCATTTTCCCCCTTCTCCTCAACGTCTTCTGTGTCCTCCTCCATCCGTTTCTGTTCAGTCCCTTCAGCCATTCTCAACTAATCGTTTTCAATACGTTTCATGCAGTTAGTCTAGATACTGTAACAGTGAGCGCTGGCTTTCTGTAAGCCCTATTTCGGAAATCTGGAAACTCAGTCAACAAACACATTTACTCGCAGGTTTGGTGAAAAGTAGTTTATTGTAGATTGTTTTCTTCCAGTGGGCAAACTGGCAATTCCGAGCAAAGCCAGCGCTGAGAGTGAACGCCTCTCAGCGCCTTTTATGCCCCATCCCCTTCCCATTCTCAAGCTAGCATCCGCCTAACTAATTAACCCCACGCGCCGCCGCCCCGCAATCCTAATTGCAACTATATCCGCCGCCCAGAACACACTTAACCCTGAAGTGCTGACTCATAAGCCAAAGAAAAGGAAACCACAATAAGATGAGTTGCCCCCCTCATTGCTGGAACGCAATACAATCCTTACGCCCTGCAATTAAAGATAGTTTTGCAGGAACTTGCAATGGATCCACATCGTTACGCGCTGTAACTGGAACAGCCAACAGTCCTGTGTTGTTTCAGGGAGGGGAACAACTAGTTGGGTAGGAGGCACAGATTCGGAGACTTATCTCCCATTCCCTATTAGGTGGCTGGCAATGTGTCGGGCACGATCAGTGAAGCTCAACAGAATCTTGTTTGCACTTATGAACAACCACAGAGGCTCTGCAACATTCATCTGACATTGCTGGCCGAAATGGAGCTTCCTGGGGAGGATCCACCCCAGAGAACTTCATTCAGGAGCCCAGAGGCCTTGCCAGTCCCATTGCTGGCTGAAATGGAGCTTCTGAGGGGAGATTGCAATGGGTTGGGGGAGGCTGAATGGAGCGTTGAAGGGCTGGATCCAGCCTTCGGAGGCTCCATTTTGGCCTGCAACGGGCAAGGGGAGGCTTGCGGAGGGCCAAATAGAACTGCAGAGGGGTGCATGAGGCTGGAGAGGAGACTGCTAGATCTTCACAAGGTAAGTGACCCGGAACAGCAGGTTGTGGGGAAAGCAATTTAGGGAGCATGAGGTATTTCAGTGGGTCGGGGAGGCCTTGGGTGGTCTTAGGCAGGTGGCCTGTTCCATTAATAGGCGCCACCTTATAGCCTTCCGTCCCCTGGAATATCTCATGTGCTCTTAATGAGCCTCGCATTCGATTCGTGAATGCATCGGCAAAAGGAGGAAGTGATCTCATTCAAGGTACTAGATTCACTCCCACAAATCCTCGGATTATGAATGGAATGGGCAGGCTCTGTTACATTTGTAACTTGAGGACTACCTATATTTTTATATTATTCCCTTCTTCTAGTGGGAAAGTCACTACATTGGAACTTGTTCCTGAATTGGGAATTTGTTCGTTACATATAATACGGTAGTAAATAACTATAAATATTGCCATCACTGTGCTTAACAATTTACAGAGTTTTCAATGATCAAGGGAGGGGTGTCGAATTTAAGGCCTATGTGATGTGGTTAGATCTGGCCTGCGGAGCCGCCCTGGCCATAATAAAAGAATCTTTTGAGTTCACGTCAAAGGGTTTGTCGTGTTTGGAGAGCTGGATCAGAACACCTCATCAGCAACAGGTGGAAAAGTGGCAAAGGTCCAGTGCGCATGCCAGCGCCTGTGAGGGCAAGGAAGCAGGCATGTTGGAATTCTGTGCTGAGATAACTGGTTGCAATACAGATCTTTAGGTGGCATTCCTTGGTGATAGCCCTAGACAGAGTAGAGGTTCAGGGCAGAATTGGCTGGCTGAATCTGCTCAGATTCTGCTGCTGGAACTTTTAGGAGGAATACTATTGTGCAGGGTGCCAGGATGGCAGAGTTGGGGAAAATAGGTAGAGAGAGTTGCAGCTGGAAAGGATCAAGTCAGGAATGGAATGAATCAGGTTGGCTTATTTATTTATTTATTTATTTACTTACTTACTTACTTACTGATTTGATTTGATTTATATTGCCGCCTATTCGCCCATGGCGACTCAATGTGGCTTACACAATGTAAAATCATATTTAAAACAAAAAATTAAAATTAAAACAATAAGAACTAACAAAAAGAATCAAATAAATTAGTAAAGTACAATAAAACAAAATTTGGGAAAACAAAAAACCAAACAAAACCAACTCCCACCCCGACGAGAGTGGGTCACACTAGCCATTGGAAGGGTTCCATCCCTCTCTGGGTTCCCCAGGCCCGCTGGCAAAACCAGGTCTTAAGTGCCTTTCAGAATAGTATTAATGAGGGGGCGATTCTAATCTCTGGGGGAATGATGTTCCAGAGAGATGGAGCCACCACAGAGAAGGCCCTTCTAGGTCCCACCAGGCGTATCTCCCTCAGGGGTGGGACCCGCAGCATTCTCTGCCTCTAAAGGGTTGGGTAGATGTCACTGGCAAGAGATGTTTCCTCATAACCTGGACCCAAGCCATGAAGGGCTTTAAAGGTGACAACCAGCACCTTGAATTGCACCCGGAAGCAAATTGGCAGACAATGATACATGTGCACACCGTGGAAGCTCCACAACTGGAGCTTCCAGATGCTCTTCAAGGGAAGCCCCATGTAGAGTGTGTTGCAGTAATCAAGATGGGAAGTGACCAGGGCATGAGTGACTGTGAGTAGGGACTGCTGATCCTGGAAAGGGCGTAACTGGTGCACAACCCGCAGTTGCGCAAAGGTTCTCCTGGCCACAACCACCACCTGCTCTTTGAACAGAAGTCGTGAGTCCAGGAGAACCCCCAGATTACGCACAGGGTCTGTTTGGGCTAATGCCACCCATCCAAGACTAAAGGTGGTAATTCTCTCTGAACCAATGAACCCCAGACCCAGAGCCACTCGGTCTTGCAAGGGTTTATTTTCAACCCATTGCTCTCCATCCAGCCCCTAACAGCCTTCAGGCATTGTGAGAGGGAGGACACAGCAACACTTAACTCTCCACAGGCCGAGACATACAGCTGAGTATCATTAGCATATTGGTGATACTTCAGTCCATGGTGATGGACGATCTCACCCAGCGTCTTCATATAAATGTTGAACAGGAGTGGAGAGAGTACTGAGTCCTGCGGAACCCCGTAAAGCAGTGGGCAAGGGTTGGATCTCTCCCCTCCTATCAATACTGACTGAGAGCGGCCACAGAGGAAGGAAGTGAACCAAGACAGCACAAGGCCTCCCACTCCCATCCCCTGAAGATGTCCCAGGAGAATCCCATGGTCAATGGTATCAAAAGCCGCCGAGAGGTCAAGTAGAGCAAGGACGGATGCACTACCCCCATTCCGCTCCTGCCAGAGAATCATCTAAAAGTGAAACCAATGCTGCTTCTGTCCCAAATCCAGGCCTGAATCCTGACTGGTAGGGGTCGAGATAATCCGTTTCATCCAGAAACCTTTGGAGCTGCAGCGCGACCACCTTCTCAACAACCTTCCCCAAAAAGGGAAGATTGGAGACAGGTCAGAATTATCTAACCGGGTGGAGTCCAGCGATGGTTTCTTAAGAAGAGGGCGGATCACAGCCTCCTTAAAGTGCTGGGGCACCATCCCCTCCTGTAGAAAAGCATTAATCACTGCCAGAGTCCACTCAGCTGTCACCTAAGATCTAAAATACCGGTGCTCGCGCGCATACTCCCTAGGATCCTGTCCGCTTCCTCAGGAGCAACAGGGTCAAACTGTTCCCAGATAACACAGCAAGAACGTGCCTCAGAAGCTTCCACCGGGTCAGCAATCACACCGGCATCTAACTGGGTACGAAGTCGAGCGATTTTGTCTTCTAGAAAATCCGCAAATTCTTTAGTGTGCCCCTTCAGGTGGACCTCAATCTCCCCCTTCCCTAAGAGGAGATGGCTCACCTTAAAGAGGGTTGCTGGGCGATTATCTGCAGATGCAATTAGTGTGGAGAAGTATTTACACTTCACCACACGAATCGGCACAAGTAGGCCTTAGTGGCAGCTCTTACCCGTGTTCGATCAAGTTCATCTCCTGTCTTCCGCCAGCAGTGCTCTAGACGTCTCCTCATGCATTTCATCCCTCTCAGTTCCCCATGTATACCATGGGGCACAGAGAGGTCTATGGGTGAGGAGAGGTCACAAGGGTGCAATCCTGTCCAGAGCCTCAGTGACTTTTTTGCCTAATGACTGATGGAATTCAGTTAATGGCAACAAAATGGACTGCTGGGATTATCATAGCTAAGCAGTAAGGTCAATGATATTATGATTTATGACTATATCACTTGGCAATGAAAATTCCAGAGTCTGTTACCATTGTAAGTTAAAGAGTATATGTTCTTATAGAATCTTTAGTATCAATATCTGGTTGGTCTCTGTGTGGTATGAATTCAAAAGATGGGCCCTCAACAGATTCATCATGATTCTTTTATTCTTTGACAAAAAGGTAAAATGATAAAAAAGTTCTCTTTTAGGACATACAGTTAGGCCATTGTATCCACTTCTATTTTACCACAAATCTTTGACACAGCAACACTAATTTATCCTAAGATATAGCATAATGATGGGGTATTAGAATAGGATTTTGGAGCCAGGGGGATGGGGTTGGGGAGTCCTAGAATCAAGTTTGCCCTTAGTCATGCAACAGACTGGGCTTCTTTGGATCGATTATTCTCTTTCAGTTTAACCTACTTGATAGGATCTGGAAATTGGAGTGGGTGGGGGGGAAGATCAATCCCTATGTAAGCTTCCTTCAGCTTCTAAAAAACAGTGGATATAAGTCATAAAAACCAAGTAAATAGTATTGATTAAGGTTGACATAAAGAAGATCCTAGCATGGTACTGCTAATAGAATTTTGGAGGACGAGGAAAATATAATTCTGGTAATAGGGAGTGACAATACAAGAATTGCCATGTTTATGCAGTAATCTTAAAAATTCTTATTTTCAATATTGTTCCATGTACACTGCTTAGTTATAGTATAACCCAATAGAAATACTATGAGCAGAAACTTATCTGAGTAATGACTATTGAAAGAATTTAAGTAGCATTCTCTATATGAAACTTGATCAGTTGGAGATTGCATTTAATGGTTTAAGGATATTTAAAATTATGTCAAAGTGAGATTCTTGCATAAATAGAGTATTACACAGTGTAAACTATAAAATATCTAAGAATTACTGTTTCTCTGAAAATATGACCTACCCCGAAAGAAAAGCCCTAGCTTGATTTTTACACGTGCACCCAATATAAGCCCTACCCCCAAAATAAGCTCTAATTAATATCAGAGTATATTCATGAAGTGGAATAGAGCTTAGTAACAAAGTCAGCCAATGAATAGGCTTGGCAACAGACCAGCCAAACGGAGCTGATTTGGAAGGTGAAACCAGAAGTGGCCTGGGTGTGGCTCTAGTCTCTGCTCTCAGCTCTAAACTGAAACTAACTTGCTTGCTTGCTGTAACTGATATATGTTCTGAGTCCACTGAGCTGCTGCTTGTATTTTTGCTTATGTTACGTTGAAAGAATCTACAATTGGTATCGTAAACTTTACTCATGTTATGTTTATAAATAAGTTAATTATCCTGCTGAATCAGTCATCTCTGTGTTTTCTAGACTTGAATTTCTGCTGCAAACTCTCAGAATTAAGACCCCACCCACTCCGGGGTGCATGGGGTGAGGCACATAGGTAAAAATTAAGTTAGGATGGAGGTGGAGCTGCCCTACTTATCAGGCCTTGCACACCCTGACACCTGCCTTGCCTTGCCAGTCCACTTCTGTGGCTACTTGTCGCCGCTTGTGCGTGATGTCCCCAGCCTCCATTTCGTTGTCAGAGAAACAGGCTGTGAATTGACATGCACAGTGTCCCTGGCCTCATTTTGCTGTCAAAGGCCTTCTGGAAATGCCTCTGCAGCCGATAACAGAGCTCTAAATCAAATCAGAGATCTGTTATTAGCTGCAGAGACCTTTCATGGTGACTGGTGATCTCCAGAAATTCTGGCTGTATTCCCAGTTTTTATCTTTCTGAATTCGTTTCTATGTACAGATCTTTAAAAATATCTAGAAGTAAAATAGAGACTATTTTATGCTGCTTTGCAGTTGCTTGTGACATTTAGAAAATATTTTACCTTGGGATTACTACTAAAAAGCAATAATTTTTAGAGATGTTTTATTTACTTAAATTTCCCTTCTTTGGTATATGTATTACAGATCCATCAAAGAAGCCAACAGAGGGAAGATTGCATTGCCAATCTCTGCCAGATACAGTCTCCTGCTTTGGCCCTCTGATGGCAGTAGGCACTTTGCTGTGAAACTTGCCAAACTGGACGCCACAGTTTTGAACGACTATTCTTTGGCAGCTGTTGTGCCCTATCCTGAGACAACTAATCATGCAGTCCTAGCCTGTAGTACAGGCATTCATGAAGAGCATTATGTAAGTGAAGGTGTGGAAAACAATGTGTCAGACTGCAGGGAATACAGAGATGCTGGCACCATTACTGGTAGGTAATAATATTGATGTTTCTTTCTTAGTATTGACAAACCTGCCATCTGTCTTGCAATATCATTTGGAGGAGTTTAAACCTGTGAGTCCCAAAGAAGTGAATAGAGTCTTTGGTACTGTGGTTATAGCCATTCATATTTTAGATCTGTTCTGCTTCTGGTTGGTTATGGAAGAGGCATTGAGTGGTAAATGCCAGTTTGATACTGTACAGGGAGGGTTCTATTGGCTCAGAAGGAACCCCTCATATCAAGAGACCATTTCTTTATCCAGCTGACCTAGAAAAAAATCACTAAATATCCAACCTTCCCTTTTTAGACTTAAAGCATACTTTTTAAGGAAAAGAACACATACATTTCAGTGGTTGTCACAGTTCTCTAGAACAACTTTCCCACTGACATGTTATGGGCCCCAGACTTTAAATGATCTGGCTCTTTCCTCAGTAGTTTGGGTATAGGTGACTAGAGTTCCTTTTTGATTGCTTTAAATTATTCCATTCAGAACATTGTGAATTAATTAATTAATTCTTTATTGGCCAAGTGTGATTAGACACACAAGGAATTTGTCTTGGTGCATATGCTCTCAGTGTACATAAAAAGAAAAGATACATTCATCAAGAATCATAAGGTACAACACTTAATGATAGTCATAGGGTATAAATAAGCTATCAAATCATACTAGGAAACAGTCAATATAAATCATAAGGATACAAGCAACAAAGTTACAGTCATACAGTCACAAGTGGGAGGGGATGGGGGATAGGAATGATGAGAAGATTAATAGTAATAGTAATGCAGATTTAGTTCATAGTTGGACAGCGTTGAAGGAATTATTTGTTTAGCAGAGTGATGGCGTTTGGGAAAAACTTTGTCTAGTTGTTCTGGTTTGCAGTGCTCTACAGCATTGTTTTGAGGGTAAGAGTTGACACAATTTATGTCCAGGATGTGAGGGGTCTATAAATATTTTCACAGCCATCTTTTTGACTTGTGCAGTATACAGGTCCTCAATGGAAGGCAGGTTAGTAGTAATTTTTTTTTCTGCAGTCCTAATTATCCTCTGAAATTTGTCTTGTTGGGTAGCAGAACCAAACCAGACAGTTATAGAGGTTCAGATGACAGACTTAATAATTCCTCTGTAGAACTGTATCCGCAACTCCTTGGGCAGTTTGAGCTTTCTGAGTTGGCGCAGAAAGAAATATCAGGTTTTCAAGTGATAAAATCCATTTAAAAAGAAAAGAGCAAAGTCCATCTTCCAAAACAATT